ATAAATTCAAGTTAAACCAACCTATAACGCTCCAAATCTGGGAGTCATCGTAGACATGACGAGGATCCAAGTTGTCACGCAAAGTTCCTTCGAACATGGCGGGGTCTTGAGGGATGATGGCAAGTCGTCCACGAAGATCAGCCAAACCAATTGTAGACACATCGAGTCCATCAATACTACAGTTTTGTTAGCCTAAAGAACAGAGAAAAAAGATGAAAGTGATATGCTCTTACCTGATGCTTCCTTCAACGCCCTCAATAATCCGGAAGAGAGCCAGCGTGAGCGAACTCTTTCCGGCGCCCGTTCGGCCAACAACGCCGATCTTCTCCTTAGGCTTGATGTCGAGACTAACATCCTTGAGTACGAGGTCAAGCCCAGGGCGATAGCGGGTGCTGTAATTCTTGAACTCCACCGCACCATTACCCGGCCAGCCCGTGCTAGGGCGACGCTTGAAGATCACCTCGGGTGCCTCGCTCGGGAGATTGGCGTACTCGAGAACTCGCTCAACGGACACGATATTAGTCTCAACCTCGACAGTCTGGCGGACAATCCAGTTCAGAGACTGCGTGATCTGGAGAGCATATGACATGGCCAAACCAACCATGCCCGGCGAAAGCTTAGTGCCAGTCGCAACGGCCATAATGGCAAGTCCAGCTGATGCAAGAATGATGATTGAACCAAGGAATTCAAGTCGAACGGCGAGCCAGCGGTTAGCACTGATGGATGGGAAGTAAGCCCGGAGGTTAGCATCCATGCGCCATTCGTTCTCAAGGGCGAACCGATTCTCCTGTTTGTAGGCACGGATGGTCGAGATGCCGCCCAAAGATTCCTGGAAGTGAGCGAAGATCGGGCTTCGGGTGACGCTATCCAGACGCTTCAACTCGCGGGAGGTACTCAGATAGTACTTCTGGTACGCAAGGTAGATATAACCCAAAGGAAGGACGAATAGCAGGAAAGCTGGGGTAGATGCTGAAATGACGACCATGGTAAACACCGCACGAGCGGAGTTTGCGAACAACATGTTAAAGGTGCGAGCGAGTACCTCATCTACCCTGTAAATGTCACTAGAGAAACGATTGAGGATACGGCCAGATGGTGTGGTTTCAAAGAAGCTCATGGGGGAGCGGAAGAGAGCAAATGCCATGCGCTCATGAAGTTTTCGAGATGCTTCGATGGAGCAGAAAATCCACAGGATCAAGTTCTGCACAATGACCAAGATAGATGATCCCAGGCCAAGCGCCAAGTAGATACCAATGAACTTGCCAACTTGATAATTGGTTCCATGGCTTTCGTTCCACTCGGTCCAATACTTCAACCAGAAGTTGCCCATCACTTGAGCGACCTGAGCAGCGATCATGGCAATTAGATAAACCACAACTGCCATGACATTGCTATCCTTTGCGTATTGACCGTAAACACCCCATTTCACCTTGCCTTGCTCTGAAACTTCTTGGGTCTGCTTGCTCTTGAGAACGTTCTCCTCATCTCCGAGCTTGCGCCGGGGACCTTGCCAGCTAACAGTGCTTGCACGGCGCAAAGTGACGGTACTGGTCCGTCTACGAGCCTCACCACCCCCCCTGATGGGAACAAGATCACCAGGTTGCTCTACCTCCTCACTGTCCGATGTACCACCGTTCTGGATAATGGTAGTTGTGACTGAGCTTTCGGGGCTAGCAAGGTCCTCAGAGTCACTATTTGTGCCTTCGTCGTCCGAATCAATCATCGTAGAGCGAACAAGATTGGAGATCTCCCCCTTCATGGCCATCAGCTGTTCATAGGTTCCTTTCTCGATGATGGTCTTGTCCCGCAGCAGGCCGATGAAGTCAGCCTCCTTGAGTACAGTAATTGCGTTTGTTGCAAGAATTCTCGTTTTGCCACTGAGGAGACCAGTTTTGCCGAGTACTCTGTTGATGATATGACGTCCAACATGTTGATCAACTGCCGAGAGAATGTCATCCAAGAGATAGATATCAGCACGAGCATAGACAGCTCTGGCGAGTGTCAACCGTGCCTTTTGTCCCCCTGAAAGAGAAATTCCGCGTTCTCCGACTTCAGTCTGGTCACCGTCAGGCAAGTTTTTGAAGTCATCGAGCAAAGCACAGGCCTCGACGGTGAGATCATAGAATGAGGGATCCCATCGGTGTCCGAAGACAATGTTTTCTCGGATACTGGCATTCATAACCCACGGCGCTTGTGCGACATACGCAATCCGACCACGTACGACCACCTCTCCCTGCTCCTTCCACAGGTCACCCAGCAATGACAGGAGAAGAGAAGATTTTCCGGCGCCAACTCGGCCCACGATGCAGCTGAGTTCTCCCTTGCGCGCACTGAGATCGATGTTTTCCAGTACTGTATCAGCAGTGTAACGGTTCCAAGAAAACGTGCCATCGCGAACACGGACAGACTCGTCACCGGGGTGCGCCACGGGATCTTGCATGATAACAGCATCATCCTGCAGTTCTTCTGCGGTGAAATATTCTACCAATCGCTTCACAGCCACGGAAGATTCGATAATGGATGTAATGACCATAGGCAAGACGGAAAGCGGGAATGTGAGCAAGTTGAACAACGTCAAGGCAGGGAATACAATCTCAGTAGTCAAAGGTTTATCACTCGTCAACACAAAGACGGTGAATGTGGAGCAGGACACGAGGAAAGGAGTAGATTGCCAGGTGAAATTCGCAAAAGCTTGAGTGGCTCCAATTTTGCGGAGCGTGTTCAACTCGAGATCATTTCTGATATGGCTGAGTTTGTTCATGAAAGCTGTGTTCCAGGCATAGAGCTTGATACTTTTGATATTGTTCAGAATCTCAGTCATCAATCGGGTCCTCGAGTCCTTGTTCTTCATTTGGATGATCTGCAACTTCTTCATCATCCGAGCAATGATACCATTCAGAGGAATCATCAGAATCATAACTCCGATACCGGCAAACATGCTCGGTCCAAGAAGCTGGTAGAGGGAGAGCATGCACAGAGTCATTTGGAAAGGAGCTGAGATAAGCTGAGTGCCGAATTGGGTCAGATCTGCAAGACGTTGTTGATCGACTGCCATGTGGTTGACAATGTCACCGGTTGTCTTTGCGGACCGTCCTTCGTTTGATAGTTTCAGGGACTTGGCATAAATCATAGCAGTCAAGGCTGATTTGACTCTCATGCCAGAGTCGAAAGCACGCTGGAAGTATTGATGGAGAAAACTGGTCTGGCAGACAGAAACAGCGAACATGGACAAGGAAATGGCGACACCCCTAATTATAGGCTGCGGGTTCGGGCCTCGATACGAATCAATGAAGGCAATGAGGAGTCGGAGGAGTTGCGGTTGCACAAAGGCAAGAACATCGCTCCCAGATTTGATTATCGCACCACGCGCATAGGGGGCACCGAAAGCCTTGAAGAGCGCTATCCACAGAGATGGCTTCTTTTTTTGAGCTGTTCATCCCATGCCTCCTTTAGGGCATTGGCCGTGGCTCGGGTGGTATCGCGACTGCGGAGATTCCAGAGGTCATCTTGGGTCAAGTAGTTTTTGTATCCATATTTCATCATCGGGGTCATCCAACTGAAGGTGAGAACCGAGAAAACATCGGCATAGTTGTACGGACACTCATCCTCGTCTCCTAGCGCATCGTATGCGCTTTGCTTCTTGGGCACAAAATATTCTAGCACAAATTCAAACAGCGCTAGTCCCAAGCTGACATTGAAGCAGACAAAGTAAGGAAGTTGGTCGATGTATTCATTGCGCGCAACCAGGGATCGGAGTTTGACTGCGTATGCGATAATAAAGAAGAGCCAGTAGAATAGGACAACCCCATTAGGCTGCCTACTCCGCCAGTGTTCGAAGTATTGTACTGAGGTTATCACTCCCAACGAAATTACCGTTAGAACCGAGGACCAGAAGCGGAAATCGGCCCAAAACCTTTTGGGGTCTGATTCGGCTTGGATCGCGGCTTGAAGAGCGGTGACGATGATGAGAGCAGCGAGAACGGCCTATGATGACCAAAATTCCAGTTAGTACATTGTCAGTGACGTTCACGGGTGTGCAGGGGTATCCGGCATGTACTAACCAACTTGGTGTAGAAGTGCCAATTCTTCGATACGGGCTGGGGGATCCGCTTCCTCAGTAACAACCATAGGGCAGCCAGTCCACTCAGAGTACCCCAGACAGCAACCACTGCCACAATCAAGTCAAGAAAGCATGGCGTCAGATCGAATCTCAATGAGCTGAGAGGGCCCCAGCCCTCACTATCTGTACAGAAAGGCTGTCGCCGGGAATCAAGTGCCGATCCAAGGGAATGCAAGAGGTGCCCCGGGCGGGACGCCTCTAGGACCACCTGGGATTGGCCATCCAGCATTTTTTTTTTTCTTAGTGACTTCGTCCCAGTATGCCTTTCTGCGCACAAGCAAGAAAAGGTACAACGTTGAAGAACTACTTGAAAGTAAGAACGAGGATGTCAACGCAAGCTAGGCTGCTGACTAAAAGCAAAGCCAGCTCCACTTTACATAAATGGAGAAATCCCGAGTTCGGAACTACTTACTTATTGCAGCCTATGAAAGTCGGATTACTACAATTGTACGTGTACGCATAAAAGCATGGTCTCTGGAGTTCTTGCATGAAACTTGCGCAACATAAATCAAACTACATCCTCCTGAATAGCCTCAATTGTCGAGTACATTTTTTTTTAAGACATTATCACGTGATCTAAAACGACGTAATCCTCGGGGATAAGTTCGCACTAAGACCGATGCGGCTATTTCCAAGACTTGGCTTATCAATGCTAGTTGATGCTTCTAGAACAGTTTATAATGCCAGTCACTAATTAATTAAAACGGTCAAAATGATATGTGTTTTGTATGTTGTATATATGTAATGCATATTTAATGCTGAATTGTTTTATATCTTCTTCTTCTATCAAACAACCAATCTTCAAAACATCATAGTACAATATATATGTATATTTCTCACGCTTAGTTACTGTTACAGATAGTATATAAAACATCAGATGTCAAACATTTTCCTTGGTAAATTCGGCAATGACCTTTGTGATCTCTTGATTTCCCGAGGCACGCGCATACTCAGCTGCGCTACCAAAGCTCCCTCTTATATATGGATCTGCTCCATGCTCTAACAACCATGTCACCCGCTCAACTGCTCCTGCCTTCACTGCATACACAATCGCGTACTGTGCAACCATGTGTCTCGACTCTTCTCTCTGATTAACATCAGCTCCACGATCAACTAGTAGTGCCATTATTGGAATCCTGCTGGCATCGAATTCCCGACTCGGGGCCACGCGACCAGTATGTGGGTTTGCACCGGGAGGACAAGCACCAGCGGCATAATGTAGTGGTACGCCATTTTGGATCTTAGCGCCCGCATCTAAAATCATACGCACAGCCTCAACCTTTCCACGAGCTGCAGCTGCCTCGAGTGCAGCACACGAGGAAATATCTGGCCCACCACGCCTGTCATGGCTAGTTTGCTGCGCACCAAGGTTGGGATTGGCTCCATGGTCGAGAAACCAACGAAGAACAGGGAGACTCTTGACAGTCCGAGGGAGCAGGACACTTCCGTAATAGCCTGGGGTGTTGGGAGTCCATCCATGCTGGGTCAAGAGCTCAAAGAGTGCGATTTGTTGTTCCAAAGGTCCAAATAAGATATTGCTTGGAGTTTCGCGAACAATTGGTGCGCCACTCTCGAGGAGATAACGAGAAATCTCAGTATTGCCAGAGCGTAGGGCACGTGTAAGACCATGATGAAGAAAAGCGGGTGTGAAATTTTTGGATGAGACAATGGATTGAATTATGGATATGGGGCCGTGCTGGCAGGCGGATTCAAAGGGCCCAAAGAAGGCAGGAACTAGACCAACCGACTGAGGATGCTCACCAATGAAGATAAAATCAGCGGGTTCCAGCCTAGGCAGGTCATCATATTTAGACCCCATTGTTCCTGATCGAGGCTGCATTTGCTGTCGTAAAGGAGTGTCGCTGTGGCTGCCGGAGCTTGGTCGTTGCTTAGTAGCCATCATTTGCATTTGATGTTGGCGTGCTCTTAGAATTAGCTGCTGTTGAAGTTGCTGCTGTGATGGCATGTCCTCCATAGTGCTGGTAAATTCTTGTCTTCATGTATTAGATTTTGTCCAAGTCGGGATATTGACGAGGGCAGCTGTTTGAAAGAGATGAATGGGCCTTATGATGCTAGTCATGTGACGGCCTAAATAAATAGTTTCATTCGAATATGGATTGACCAATCAAGGATCCAGGCCTTGATTAGGACGGAATATCAACGTTGTGTGTTAACGGGGTCCGTACGTGCACATGTGCCTTGAGGATCAACACACTGATCCGTTAAGCACGATTCGGTCTAAATGGGTTGAATCTGCTTCGGTTAAAGAGATCTCACTGAACAAATGATGATAAAAAAGGTTAAAATGTTAAAAATTGCCGAGGAAGTATCCAAGTTAGAATGATACTTCTTAATATCATATGAAACATGTAACTTTTACTCTAGTCATTGCTTAAATCAAGACTTCTGTCTAATTCAATTGACATGATAGCACAGAATTCACAGTCAGTCGTGTTGGTTATCAGGTATGTTCTTGTCAGCTTTACTTTACTCTGTATTATCTCGAGCTCATCCTTAGGACCAAAAGCTTACTAGAGAGAGGGCCCAGGGGCTGTAAATAAGTATCTTTCATTCCTGACTCTAATGGCACACCATTTATCACTAAAAGTCTGAATTGTCTCCAAATCAAAACGAAAAGCCTCTCAGCTTTTTAGTGATAGGAAGTAGTCTTCATAACAAATTTTGCTCACATCCCATTGCATTAGCAAACAAGCTTTGTTGTCATTATCTTGAGCAGCAACTCTACACATCTCTTTGAATGCAATAGCCTAACCACCGTCATATAATTGTTCCTTAAGTATCAGTGATAATAGGAGCATAGTTTGCCTTCATCCTCACAAATTATTCTCCCACCACTTCTTCTGTCAGAACCAAAGGTATCGAATTCAAAATCTACATTGCTCGAACCGGAAAAGTAAAGAGTTTTAGAGTGAGATTGACGATCTCACATTCGACCTGGCTGATTCTTCGTTGTCCTCGGAATGTGGTGCAAAGAAAAGGAGAGGTCCAATGGGCTCTATTGGAGATATCATAACCACATCGTCCTGTCTCGACGAGAGGTTGGAGCTCGTTTCAGATTGCATCAATATGGTTGATGTTAAAACCATTAGCGACACCCTGGAGGACCTTCTTAGTGACTATTCCACTGTCTCTACAACACCCTGCTCATCCTCAACTACTGCCACGACTATTGGATACCCTGTCATTGGATCAACAAACTCAGTCCCCAGCTTCAACTCAACAACTGATACTCAAATACTATGTTTTCCGGATACTTGCGAACAGCCAAACTCTACGAGCACAGGCCCTCTGGGTAGTGTGAGAATGGGAGTAGTGGCCAGAATCGAGCATTGTAGCTTGGCCTCAACGGATATTACCACTAATATACCAGTTGAAAATTATGAGATTGCTAAACGTAGTGGAGCCGCAAGTCCAACACAGCCTGTCTCCAAGGCAAGTCTCTCTAGCAGTTGAGATAAGAGAATGAAGACCAGTTCGTTGATTGCATATGCTTCCCAGGACACTTCTACTCCTTACAGCAGCTATGTCAGGAACTTAGCACCAATTTGGATTGACCAGCTTGGATCAGTGTCTGCACAATGGTTTGACTATCCATTATTTGGTCATTCAGCTGTAGGGGTGAAGGGCATATACGGATGCACCGCGGTGATCATAGCATCCGAAAAGGGTGTGTACATTTCGCACATTTGGGAGAGCCCTGTGTTTGTTGACCAGGAGTTTAACCCAACCGATGACAACTTGTTCACAATAAATGCGTTCAATTCCCTCCGAGATGGAACCATACATGCACAAAGTGTAACTGATCTGATTGGGACTGACCAGAATCCCGGCGTCTTGAATGCAATCTACGCACCCAAAGTTTTTGTTCTCACACCCTTCACTACAGATTGGGACCGACAGTACTTTAGCATTTCCACCATACTCAGATATCAAACGCGTGTCCAAGAGCTCGCGCAAAAAATAGCAAACATTGTTCCCGGTTCTGGTGGAAATGGCATCATTCTGGGTTATACGCGTACAAGTCGGCAGGCATCAAGCCAGGAACGAGGCATTGCAGGAAGAGCCATTTTGGAGATTGACCCTTTTTACACATGGCTCACTACACCATATGACTCGAAATCTAGCGGCCTCCAAATTGGACGTTGGCGCCTGTGGGTAGAGGACCATCTGATTACTTACCAAGACTTCTGGCTTCCTAATCTTACAGCTCCTCGGGGCAATTTCTGAAGAGACCTTGGTTAGCGAGATGTTAGTTATGCCACTCCGTGTAGGAGATACCCGTATTTACTGCTGATACTATTTTGGGAACTGGGAACATGCAATTTGGAAATACTTCCTGGATAAGTTATTGATTTTAATCTAGGCTTGCATCAAAAGTCACACTTGAAAGGCGAGTATGAGGTTGGTAGATTACTGTACAACAGACGAAGTAGACATGGATCTTGTACGGAGTATGTATGTATATTCGAACAATAGAAATATTATGACGTCATCGACACATCTTATTCATAAATCACATGATGACAACAGATGAAAAAAAATTCATATAACGTTAGTAGAAATAGGGCTATAGAAGGGAAAACAAAATTGTCAAGAATGATGCTCTACAAAGACGCCAAATAAAATACCAACGGCACAGGAAAATCAAGTCCATGGGTAAAATTTCCTAATCGGGAGGCCGACTCGTTGATATCTTTGAGCACAGCCCGCCTCCAGGGCTGCGCATAAGCCTAGAATTACTGATAGAAAAACAACGCTTTCGGGGTCCTAAAGGAGGTTGAGCAAAGATTCATAATATGACTCAGAATTATTGCAGATTTGATATCTACATGTAGACATAAATGCGACGGCGAGGCGCATAGAGTCCACGTAGTGCCCGCCTTGCTCTTAGGCGGTAAGAGCCCATTTATCATCGTCATTGGAGGGGCACCGCGATCTCAATATACACATTTTTCGCCAAGCTCATCATGGTCGACACGACTAAAATGGAGGAGCTCTTGAAAAGGCCACTCTATGGTATGCCTCCAAAACCTCATGTGATCATCGGTCCATTCCGCTGATCTTTCTAGTGTACGATCTGCCTCCAGAACTTCTTGCAAGCTTAACGGCCAAGACCACAAGCCAACCTGTCGCCGAAGAAGACCCCACACCCTCTACGGCAGAACTCGAACTAGCAGCGCAGGACTCTGCGATCGCAACCTCCAACCTATGCTCCCTTTGCAAGGTCTCTTACAACAGTGTACAGGAACAGCGCAGCCATGTCCGCTCAGACCATCACCGGTATAATATCAAAGCCCAGCTGCGCGGCAATGCGCCTCTGGAGGAAATTGAATTCGCGAAGGCGATTGGAGAGCTAGATGAGTCTATATCAGGTTCCGAGCCAGAGGAGTCAGAGGAGGAGGATGCAGGGGGAGCCGCGGGCACAACACTGTCCGCCCTGCTGAAAAAGCAAGCCAAGCTGTCCCACCCGAACGAGAATCCAGAAATGGACGAGACACCAATCGCTCCGAAGCACCCTATATTCTGGCTGTCTAGCTCGGGGTTGCCATCAAACAAATCCCTGGGCATCTACAGGGCTATTTTCTCAAATGCAGAGCAAGAGGAGCCCGCTCACCTGGTTGATACTCTGCGACGAAAGCAACTCACGCCAATCAAAGCGCGCACCAACAAGGCAAGCAACGTGCCGGACCCTGCTACTTCAGGGCCACACATTTTCATGTGCATGATCGGCGGTGGTCACTTCGCGGCTATGCTGGTTTCGCTAGCGCCGGAGATTCACCGAAAGCAAGGAGGAGTTGAAGACAGACAGGCTCGGGTCATTGCGCACAAAACGTTCCACCGATATACAACGCGGCGAAAGCAGGGTGGCTCCCAGTCTGCCAGTGATTCGTCGCGCGGTCCTGCTCATTCGGCGGGTTCAAGTCTGCGCCGGTACAATGAGGCTGCACTTGAGAAAGATATCAGAGAAGTGTTGTCAGATTGGCGAGAGATGATTGACACAGCCGAGTTGTTGTTCGTTCGAGCTACGGGAAAGACAAATCGAAGGACACTTTTCGGTCAATATGACGGACAGGTCCTTAGACATAACGACCCCAGAATTCGAGGGTTCCCCTTCAATACTCGCCGCGCAACTCAAGGGGAGCTCATGCGGTCCTTCAAGGAGTTGACCCGACTGAAGGTCAGCGAGGTGGACCAAGCGGCACTGGCCGCGGCTGAAGCCAAGCGGCTAGAGGAGGAATCAAAACTATCTACACCTGTTTCAAAACCGCAACCACAGAAGCCGAAGGTCTCGAAAGAAGAAGAAGCTGCCTTGTTGCACACATCCCAACTACAGGCACTTATTCGCCGCTCGAAGGTTCCCGCCCTTATGTCCTATATCTCAAACAACTCCATACCTCCTTCTTTCACCTTTACGCCCGCCGACTCACCACAAAACTTCCGCTGCCCCACACCTCTCCATCTCGCTGCAAATCTCGATGCACCAGCCGTAGTCATGGCCCTCCTTACAAAAGCCGGGTCTGATCCAACGGCAGTCAACAACGAAGGCAGAACTCCATTCGAACTCACCGGTGATCGAGCCACGCGCGACGCCTTCCGCATTGCGCGCCACGATCTCGGCGAGTCAAAATGGGACTGGGAAACAGCTAAGGTTCCATCGGCGGTCTCCAAAGCCGACGCTGAAAGCCGAGCCGAGAAAGAACGCAAAATCGCCGAGGAGGAAGAATCCATCCGGCGCAAGGCTAGCTTGGATCGCCTGAAACGTGAAGAGTCTGCGAAGGCGGCACGGCCGAGAACGACTAAATCTGGTGGTCGTACTGTGGGCGCTGTTGAGAAGACCGCAGCCGAAAAGAGAGATGAAGAGACTAGAGGCATGACGCCGGAGATGAGGATGCGATTGGAGAGAGAGCGCAGAGCGAGGGCTGCGGAGGAGCGCTTCCGGAGAATGCAAGGTCAATGAGACTTTGTTATATACCCTTTGAGCATTGAAGTTTTGAAGTTTTGAAGGCGTGACTAGCGCCATGAATATTCCATTCCCAGGTATGTAGATATTGGCTTTGGGCTTGCCATAGGGCGAAGAAAACATTATTCATCTTTAGCATCTCTTTCTCTTCCTCCCCAATCTGGCAGTTACTTGTTGCATTCTCAACAGCGGAAATCGTTTTGGGGTCATTGCGATTATTCCTATGTAGCGATGAGCCTGGAACTTCTCTACTTGAAAACATGAAACAGTCTTAAAAGTTGTAGAGCTAAAAAGTATCATCGGGGATAATCATCTGCAAAGCGAGACTTTACTTCATCGCCACTCAATGGCTATCCCTAGGAAGCAAGTTACACAGGCAATAGTTATTGATCCTTCAGGTATATGGTCAATAATAACTCTTTCTAGGATACACGGATATGGATAAGAGAGAAGGGCTTTCACGGTCCACTGGCTACTATGAAGTCAGGGTCCAGTGTGGTGAGTCCACTTCTGCTTAAAAAGCCTTTCTATTCTTATCCCTGTGTCTCGGGTAGGGTTAGTAGCCACCGCAAAGGATAGCGGTCCCTTATCGTGTGGCTGTGAGAGTAGAACAGGGGATGGAGAGGAGGGGGAAACTCGATACAGAAATAGGGGGTGTTGATCGGTAGCGAGCTTGGAAGGATGGTCTCACTTTTAGGCCAAAGGGTGGTCGTTGTCGTTGTTGTATTGATTAACGTCCGGCGAAGCATGGCGTAGCCCATCCTGAGATCTCCTATGGGGTATTGGGCCGAGCGTCGGATGTAGCATATTGTATGTCCACAGAAGGTATTCTTAACTATAAGTGTCGATGCAATCGCCGGTTTGCTGCCCGTCCTTCACGGGTGAAATGGATGCAAATGTGTCAGATACGGAGCTGGTCCGTCTGCCAAGTGCGATGATACTTGATGGTTTTTCTTTGCGGGATGGGTCGGCGGCTGTTTGATGCGGCGACGGTGCCGCTAAAAAAATATGCCCTCATCCAGGATCGAACTGGAGACCTTCGGATATCAATCTTGTTACCAGGAATGTCATATTTCAATATGGAAGGGATATGAGACCGACGTCATGACCAAACTAGACCATGAAGGCAAACCACTCAGCCACTTGGACTTGCGATAAACCTAATGGGTAGTGGAGCGAGAGGCAAACTCATCGTTGTACATGGATCGGAGTAGGTGATCTCGATTTGCAAGACAAGTGGTAGACCTCGAGTGTTGTGAACCAAGCTGTCCATTTTAAAATGCTAGAAAAGTCAGGGTAAATTAAGTTTGATTCTATGAAAATCAATAGAGTAGAACACCCAGCCGGACCTTGGAGGGGTGATCGCCAGCGGAATCACACATATTTGGCCCAGAAAGCAAGACAGGGAGAGAGTGATGGGGCAAGAAAACAGCCAATAGATCTATATCAAGCGATGTCTGAGACGATGAGGACATAAGGTAAACTTGTAAACCCTTAATATCTTGCTCTGTGAGCTCAGAGTCGAGGCAAAGAGGGGTAATTACAACCCCAGCCACATTAGGGCAATAGCAGATCAAAAGAATGTGGAGATGATCGACATGAAGGCCTGTGGAAAGGGGCTTATGTCTTGCATGAATGCCACAGGGTTCAAAGAAGCTTAGATGGCATCCATGGATAGGGTAGAGGAAGCCCCTGGGAATTGGAAACATCCAGTGTACCTACTATGTACGTAGATTTTGTGTTTATCACTTGTACTGTACTCCGTTTATCCTTTGCCTCCCTTTACTGAATTCGAGGAGCAACTTTTGAGCCCATCACTCTCGGTGGGATGGGGCTACCCCTTGCATGAGATTGGGTTTTGATCAGTGGCTGGGAGCATGGGTCTTGGAATGGAGGGTGGATACAGAGTACGGAGTAGAGTGAGAATTGTAGATAGGACTAGGCCCCTTTGAATACTCATGGATTTAGTGGTGGTATTAGTCCTTCTAGTAAGCGGTGTTCCAAGGAGTAGACACACTTTTTCGATTTGTACGGAGAATTACTTACCAAATATTTGTACATTGTACTCCGTAGTAAGCATAGCAATGAGTCTATGTATTATAGATCTGTAGATGGCCTGTCGGCCGCAGTGTGCAGCCAGTCTGCACCCCACAATATGGTAGATGCAGACGCTCTGCAAGATACTGCAGGCTATATCTTCGCACGAGCTGGCCTGAATACGCCCTGCAAGGAGAAACAAAGGTTTCTTACAGTACTCCGTACAGTA